GTTCTCTTTATAGAGATCTTTCACATCCTTTGTTAGGTAAACTCCTAAATATTTCATCTTCTTTGGCACTACTGTGAATGGAATAGAGTCCTTGACGGCTTTTTCACCTTGAGAATTATTGGTATATATAAAAGCTACTGATTTGCAAGTATTGATTTTATATCCTGAGATGCTACTATATTCCTTGATCACTTCTAGGAGTTTTGTGGTTGAGTCCCTGGGGTTTTCCAGATATACAATCATATTATCAGTGAAGAGTGAACGTTTGATTTCCTCTGACACTATCTGTATACACTTGATCGCCTTCTCTTGCCTGATTGCAATGGCTAAGACTTCCATTACAATGTTAAAAAGTAGTGTAGACAATGGGCAACCTTGCCTGGTTCCTGATCTGAGTGGAAATGTTTTTAATTTTACTCCATTCAATATGATATTGGCTGTGGAGCTGTGGGTTTGCTGTAGATGGCCTCTATTACTTTAAGAAAGGTCCTTTCTATACTTGTTTTCTTTTTTCTTTTTCTATTCCTATTTTCTTAAGTGTTCTGATCATGAAAGGATGCTGGATATTGTCAAAAGCTTTTTCTGCATCTATTGAGAGAATCCTATGGTCTTTGTTTTTTTACTTTGTTTATGTAGTATATTTGTATATTTACATATATTGAACCAATCTTGAGACCCTGGGATAAAACCCACTTGGTCATGGTAAATAATTCATTTGATGTGTTGCTGGATTTTGTTTGCTAGGATTTTATTGAATATTTTTGCATCTATATTCATTAAGGATATTGGTCTATAATTTTCTTTTCTTGTTGGGTCGTTTCCTGGTTGGGGTATCAGTGTGACATTTGCTTCATAGAATGTGTTGGAAAGTGTTTGACAGAAGGTTTTTTCCCTTTTTTTATTCTCAGCTTGTTACTCACAAGAGCTATATTACAGATTTGATTTCTGATAGTTTAGGATTCCTGGGCAGCTCCCGAGGATATCTGAGGAGAGGATCCGTTATTTTAACAGGTAAGTATAATTCCATTTTCACACCCTAATTTGCCTTAAAAGAGTAGGCCAGGGAAGTCCCTAGAAGTCTTCTGTTAAAAGCTATAAATTTTCTTGGTTTATGATAAACAGCACCTGTCACAGTGATAGCTATGATAAATAGAAGTTAATATATGTGATGAGAATAGAGTTCTATTTTATAATACATAGAAAGTGAATATGCCTGTTATGATTAAATTATACAAGTGTGTAAGACAGGATGGATTTCAAAATTTAAGATGGTGAAAGGCCATTTCACACTATTCTCCTTAATTGCTTAAAAATCACTACCCAAAGAATAAGGATAATTAAAATATATATATATATTATATTCGACAAAACTTAGATATCTGTAACCAGAAAGTACAACAGATGAGAGAGAGCTACCAAATCCAGTAAAGCCAAAAAAAAAATGTGGAGAGAAAGAAAATGGGAGTCAAGGAAGACTTTAAGAGAAGACAACTAAAGTTCTTAGATTCTCACTGTGGGGATCAAAATTAATAATCTCATATTTTGGAATTCTCAACTTAGTAACGAGTTCCCTACCTGGTAACGAGATCTTCCCTTCACCCTAATTGGCATTATGGAGTAGCAGGAGTGGAAATGAATGAGGAAATTTGCAATCACATCATAGTTGTAGAGAGGAGTCTGTTAGTTAAGGCAGTCGACAAAGGGAATTATGGTCAGCACTAGAGCTCACGATCTGCGTTAATCACAGTAATCACAGAGAGAGAGAAAGACAGAGAGAAGAAATCTAGGTCATCAAAACTTTATTTCAAATCAAAAAGAATTCCTGCTGTTCTGAGTTATACCAAGGAACTTTCTGCAAATAAACTTCAGTATATAATAATTTAAAAATTGCACAATTTAAAAATAAGCAATTTTTAAAAAGGAAGCAGCATTATCTTTCTGTTACTTTGGAGATACTTTGAGGGGAAAAAAGAGAGGAAAGAAAAGAAGAAAAACAAATTTTAGGCAATGTTTTCTACAGAGAAGATAAATATCAGGATAAATATTTCTGAGTTCAAAACTTTTTGAAATAAAGATCTAAGGTAGGGGTCCTCAAACTTTTTAAATAGGGGGCCAGTTCACTGTGCCTCAGACAGTTGGAGGGCCGGACTACAGGTGAGTTGGCTGCTAAGCAGGACAGGCAGCAGCGGCAACAACACCCAGTGGACTGGATAAATGTCCTAGGCGGGCTGCATGTGGCCCGCGGGCCGTAGTTTGAGGGCACCTGATCTAAGGTATAGATACAAGCACACAGGGAATATATGATGGGATACTGGGAGCACATGAAAAATAAGCGTTCAAAGTAGTGTATAGGGGAAAATGTAAGAAAAGTATGTAACTATCACTATTTGTAATTAGCAAAAGAGAAAACATGATTGCTGATAACCCAATAAGGTACAAGGAGTACAAGGGTTGAGAAATGCTAGCAAAATAAAATAAAAACAGGCAAGGAAAAGTTTTTAAAAACTAGGGAACAATGACAGATCTAGAAGCTAGATAAAATGAATGCAAATATACATAGATAAAATCCAGGAAGAAAAGAAATGAACAATTACAGTGGACAAAAGTCTTCAAAAATATAATTTAAGAAATTATTAGCCAGGAATGGTAGCACGTATCTGTGGTCCTAGCTACTCAGGAGGCTGAGGCAGGAGGATTGCTTGAGCTCAGGAGTTCAAGGTTTCAGCAAGCTATTGTGATGCCACTGCACTACAGCCTGAGTGACAGAGACCCTATGTCAAAAAATATATATATATAGAAAAAGAAAAGAAAAAATAAATATAAAAGACTTGATTAAATATACTGAGATGATAAATTTTTTAAGATTATAAATTATTTAAATCATTTTCCTAAATGCACATGAAGACATTTCCTAATAAAGCTATGGAACTTCAAAATTAAGGGTTTATTTTATTTTACTTTATTTTATTTTATTTTTTGAGACAGAGTCTCACTATGTCACCCTCGGTAGAGTGCTATGGTGTCACAGCAACCTCAAACTCTTGGGCTTAAGCGATTCTCTTGCCTCAGCCTCCTGAGTAGCTAGTGTCCACCACACCACACAGTTATTTTTTTATTGCAGTTGCCATTGTTGTTTAGCTGGCCCGGGCTGGGTTTGAACCTGCCAACCTCGGTGTATGTGGCTGACGCCCTGCTCGTGGAGCTACAGGCACTGCCAAAATTAAAGGTTTCTTTAAGAATTTAGGAAAAAGAAAAAAGAAAATCACCTATAAATCATAATAAGAAGACAGAGAGATTGGTATTAGACTTTTCCACTTTAGTGTTCAGCTTTAAACCATAGGAGAATAGTGCCCACAAAATCCAAAGTAAAAGAATTTGTGACTAAAGAATTTTATATTCAGCAAAATTTTATCCAATCATGTAGGTAATAGGAAAACATTTTCAGAAACACAAGAACTCAGAATAAACCCATCATCATGAATACTTCCTGAAATTATTAGAGGAATTCAGCCAACTAAAAAATAAATGGATCAACTAGTGCAAAAATGCAGTATCTACTTAACTGTATCTGCTTAACTAGCATCTCTCAATGCAGAACCCACAAAAAAATTTTCTCTATGCCTTGCAATGCTAACCTCTGTATCAACATCTTCCAAGTTCCCTTGCCAGACTGTTTCCAAGTAAGTACAGCATTTAATGTCACTTAATGGGCAAGAGTATGCTCAACATCCAGTAATAGCAGTGCTACTCACAAATTGTCCCAGCCAACATAATATATAGCCAACATAATGCCTAGAATAATGACTCACAAAACCAAGAGTTGTCAAGGATTTGGAGCAAGCCGAACTCCCTTAAACACTTGAAAGTGAAAATTCCTAAACCTCTTTAGAAAACTGTTTAGCCATTCCTGTTAAAGCTGAATGTATACATGCATCCCATGATTCAGGAATTTTGTATGAAAACTAACAGAAATACATACATATACTAGAATATGATATGTACTCGAATACTCAAAGCAGCACTATTAGTTATAACTCAATCCTGCAAGCCAACAATGAGAGGACTATACTGTGGTAGATTCACAAATGAAATACAATACACCAATGAAGATGAAAACCTAAAACCATAAGCACAACGTGGATGAACCTTACAGACAAGGTTTAAAGAAAAGCCAGTCACAAAAAGAATACATATTGCAGGAGGACATAAATGCAGACTCAAAGCAGCCTGCCAACAGGGGGCACTCAAAGAAAGAAACAAAAGGTGTAGGCAGATGCCTACATAGGAGTTGTCGGAGGGAGCCATGGAAAATCATAGAGAAGCAATGTGGGGCACTCAGCATGGTTCAGCGCAGTGCAAACTGAACCGCAAGATGGCTCTCACCACTCCCCAGACCGCTTGCGTGGTTAGAACAGAGACCTACCTGGAGCCTGTGCACAGCCACTGAAGCAGACAGCAGGCATGGTGGGGACTCGGCAACTGGCATGTTGGAGATTGGGCTAAAGCCGTCCTGAATTCTCAGGTGCACCTTGCCAGGTCTCCACAGGGCTGGGGAAGGAGCGCACTGACTTGTGTCTTCTCTGAACTGTGCCCTGAAATTTGAAGCCAAGCACTTTACCACTACAGTGCAAAAAAGAAGAAAAAGAAGAAAGAAAAAACAAAGACTCCTAAGGGAAGAAGGCAGAGAGAGAGGATGATGAGAAAGAGAAATGGAGAGAAGGAGGAAGGAAAGAAGGCAGGATGGACGTAGAGGGGGGAGGAAGAGTGATCTGAAAATAAACTTTAAAATGTATGCAGTGTCCCTATGAACAAAATTTGCAATTTTGTGTCCTACTGCAGGACACAGAGAAGATTCGAACAAATAGAAAGATATGGAAAGAAAGAATCAAAATTACAATGTGTCAATTCTTTCTGAAACAAATTAACAGGGTTTTTTATTTTTTTCTAAACTAATGTAGAAAAGTTAGTATGCAAGAATAATGGAAATTCTAACCAAAAAGTGTAATGATGGAGGATTAGCCCAGCAGACATTAATATAGCTACGGTAATTAAAATCTCAAGGAATGAACAGACAGATAAATGGAACAAAACACCGTCTAGAAATAACCCCCTTAACATGCAGTATTTTAGAAAGTGAATCACTGGCTTTCATTAACACTGATGAAAATATGTAATATTCCTTAAATGGCACTGGGACACCTGGAAGACCATCTGGAATTTTTTTTAATTATCTTATTCCTATTTCATTCCTTACTCTAAATAAATCCCAGATGGTCAAAGGTTCAAATACTATAAATGAAACCATAATAATAAATAAAATTAGATAAAACAACATGGAAAATCTTGCTTTACAAATTTCACAGGATGGGGGAGGTCTTTTCAAGTAAAAGTTGAAAACAGCCATAAAGAAAAGATTGAAACATTTTTGCAAAGCAAATCTACTATAATAAAGTTAAAGCCAAACTGGGATGAAATATTTACAGAAAACTCGTGATTCTAACTTTCTAAAGAATCTTTACAAATCCATAAGAAAAGACAATTGACCCAGTAGCAAAAAAGACAAAGAACATGAAAAAAAAAATTATTTGACTCTTGAACATAAATTTTTCACAAATTTGTATTAAAAGGGATGCAAATTAAAATGATGAAATATTTCTGTTCATCAAGTTGCCAGAGATCGAAATTTTTATACTATACAATTTTATCAAGGTTATGGGAAATGGACAATCACATTACTGGGGAGACCACAAAGAGTTAGTAGTTCTAAGAAGGTATTTGGTTATATCAAACAAAATGTGAACTCAGTAATCTCCTATCAAGAAAATTTAGGGTAGCCATAAAGAAAGATGGAGACTTTACATCCTTCATGTTCACATGGATGGAGCTAGAAAGTGTTCTTCTTAGCAAAGTATCCAGGAACCGAAGAAAAAGTATCCAATGTACACAGCCCTATTATGAAATTAATTTATAGCTTTCATATGAAATCTATAACCTAATAACAGCCTAAGAAT